AACGGGCAGGTTGTTTGAAGCTGGATGTGACTTCTGTTGCGCGAGGCTTACAATAAGCCCGCAATTCTCCAAGTAACACTGTAGACTACGGAAAAGACCAAAACGAGCCAACGGCAGATCTTGTGAGACCTTGACGCACGGGAGACACAAAGTTGATGGGCAAACACAAGGACTGCCTGATAAGCAGAATCTATTGTAACGCTTTACAGGAGTCGCGAACAGCTCGAGTGAAACAAACGCTCCTTTCTGACTAAACCGCACTGTAAGGGGATATTTGGACGACAATGGAAGTTACTTCCCATTCTCGCCATTCAGACTGGTAAAATGGAGAAAAATGGATGAGCAGAGTAATGAGAAAAATAAATCTGGTGGATTTAAGAGGCATCCCACCTTGAGGCCCTTCCAGACATTGATTAAACGAGCCTTTGTGCGTGTGTATGTGTGTGAAGCTGCATGTTATGGGAGCAAGACGGTACGGAATGTTGGAACGTAGAACTCACCCATGTAGCCGGCAGTTCCAACACGACCCTTCAGAGTACAGTTGGGCTCAACTTCGACTGCCAAACCCAGATCCGATATTCGTACGTGACCTAAAAACGAAATGGGCGTAAGTCAAAGAAAGGAACTATCTGAAAGTTGTATATAACTATGTACGACCACCGTGACGTCACGCCGGGTCAGTTTGTGGACTCTCAGCCACAACCATAATGGGTATGTGTACGTCAGGAGAAGTGTAACCTATGCGAAAATTTCGAAAAGCACCGCACTGAAAGAATGAACCGGTCCAAATGAAAACGCCAAATCGTTCTAAGATCAGAGGCAGTCTGAAGAAGAATGATTTGACAGCCCCTTGTGGTTGAGCGAAGGGTGGGTCACCAAACGATCATGGCGTCGCATGAAAAGCAAACAGGCTGTGGTGCAGAAAGAAGTGCCGGCAGGGGTGGGATCAAGGCGACAGAGGCAGAGGCCTTATCCACGTGTGGCTTATCTCGGCAAACTAGCTGGCAAACCACAGCTATTTGATCCGGAGAGGATGATGACGCTCGGAGAAGTCGAGATTACTGGGTATAAGAAGTCAAAAAAACTCCTGTCGGGAGACGGAACTTAACCGCTTTCGGCAAATGCCTCTACCTATTTACGCAGTAAAGCATGGGGCCGTGAAACGGGTGATATTGGCCTACACCTCCGTTTAATGGCAAATGTTTATTGGAAGGACTTTAAAGTTACTTAATCTCTACCTCCAGGCAAAAAACAGTGAATTACGGACGCAGTACAGAGTCGCAACGGACTACCAGATGATGTAACACCCAATAAAGTTGCCGGACATGAATGAGAAGGCTGACGATCCGGAAAAAACGGGAGGAAACCAGAGTACCGTTACATGCACACATCATAAAATAAGTAGGAACGGAGAGCAGGCCGTCAAGAAGATATATAATAGAACGACGTTTGTCCCCTCTGTCACTGAAAAGCATTTTATTGCGCTCCGCTTGGACCACTAACACGCACTCACATGCAATCTACCGATACTATACTGCCGAGTCCTGTTACCGGGCTCAATCCCCCCCCCCACCGCCTCCCCAAAAACTCTGAATATGTCAGAGATCCGGATGTGTGCATGTGTTTATGTTCTTTGGTGAAGTGTATTAGATTGAAAGAATGGGTAATCAGTTAATGGATTTACGGTCACAGCAAATGCCTAGCTGCATAAGGTGTTCAACTACTCCAATCCCACCTGGCGCCTGCCTCTCTTCCGAGGCTGCACATAACTATACTAAGGATAGCGCCAACATCACGGTAACTCGTTTGACTGACGGAAGAAACTGAGGGAAGCCGGTATGCTCCACCCTCCCCCAACGTAGTAAAGCTGTGTATGTAGCCTGGGTTGGTCATAGAGACGAACCAACCACGTTGTGCAACACCAGGTCATTAGCAGTCATATTTACGTAGTCCTGAAACTGGACACCGGTGGGTCATGAAAAGTAAGGCGGAGGCTGCGCAAGTCTCCATTGCAGTAATCCAAACCACACACATGTCATAACAGCTCCCCATTATAGTGCTGATCGTAGTCGTGCTCGGTAAACGAGCTATGAAGAGCTCGGGTGATGAAAAGGTCATATAAATGTCAGTATTTCGCACTATTTCGATAGTCCCTGTACTACCATCTTTCTCGCGTGCTTTTGTGAGGTGCGCCTAAGCCGAGACACCATTCCTCGAATCTCCGAGGCTACAAAAACTCGACAGAGAACGTAGGCGCAGCGTAGAAAGCACGTGGAAACTACGAAAAAAGGTTGGCCTGTTGGCGGGACAGGCTGGAAGAATCGTGCCGACGGTCAAATGCTTTTGACCTCGGAACACGTGGACGGCGATGGTCGCCACCACCAAAGAGGCGGAGGCGAGGACAAATAAGGAACGAAGCAGCTAGCGAGTAAGAAAACGTTGCCTTCGGAGAGCAAAAAGTTCAGGGTGGTGGTGGCGGTGGTGATTTAAAAAATTACTGGGAGGTGAACAAGGCAATAGAACGATCCGAGAATTAACTTTTGCAGGAAAAATTGATCATCAGTAGGTGGGACAGTAAAGATACAAGTCTGGGATCTGTCAAAGCTACCTCAGGGAAGATGTGTCGACGACTTTGCCCTATTTGCCTTATATCAATGTTGGACTTGCCGTGGCCCACGCACTGACGGGAATTTAAGCACTTTAGCATGGTTTTTTCCGCCACCTTGCCGACCACTTTTGACCTGCCATCTTCATGTGTGCAGTCAAACTGAACAGCTGTTCGGCAGTG